GGGGCGGGGGTCTCTGCCCCCCAAGCCGCTGCTTTCCGGGAACCAGTAGTTAGCAGTGTGTGTTTGAGTTGTGGCTCTGCTGAGCAGCTGATTCTGCTTACAGTGTTGCTTTTGGGTCCAAACGTGTTGCCGGTTCTGGTTAGAGTAGTGTCGCCCCCCAGCCGCTGCGCTCTACAAGCTTCTTCCTTCCGTGACTAGTGTCAGGAAACCCCTCGTAGCCCCCGCGCCAGCTGTGGTGTCGGCAGCAGTGCAGAGATCGGCCCCATAGGTGCGTAGAGGTGCTAGGCGCCACCCCTGAGCCACGCCTAGGCGCAGCGGTAGGCTTGGGTTTCTTTTCATGCCAGGCCGCTTCGAGGTGAGTTGTCATGTCCTCTCCGTTAGTACTTTGGGATGTTGGGACCGGAGGCATCGCTGCAGGGCGCCAAGCCCGGCCCTTGGTGCGCCGCGGGAGGGGACACCCAGCACTGCCTTCTTCTCACGGACTCGAACATCCCGCTCCCTGTCTGCCCATCTCTGCTCCCCTCCCAGCCCCTCCTTGCCCCTGTCCCGACTGCCCCGCGGCTCCTCTGGAAGGGGCCTGCAGGCCGATCGCTTCGATTCAAACATTCCAGATCTTCTTGTTTACACTACGTCACGTAGAGACATTCGTAGCTGTCGTGTGGCATCCCATTGTGTGGGCCCCGCTTCCGCCGCACGGGGCTTTGGGCCTTGGAGACACGGCAGCGTAGTCAGTGCAGCCGCGTCCCCACTGGACCCTTCCCCTGCTGCCGAGAGCCTTGGGCAGCCACCAGCGTAGTCCCACTGCGCCGCCACCCTTGGGCTGGTCCATCGTGGCCTGGAGCCGACCCAGGCAGTGCACGAGGCAGCAGGCATGGCTCTGCCCAGGGGAGCAAAAGCTCCCGTGTTGGCAGGGGCTGGGGTCAGGGGGAGGCTGGGGCGGGCACCACCTGTGTGTGTGTGTGTGTGTGTGTGTGTGTGTGTGTGTGTGTGCGTGTGCGCGCGTGTGGGTGCGTGTCTCCATGACATGTGGGTGCGTGCTTGAGTCTAGTCACCAAAGACCATGACCCCCCACTCTTGCACTCGCCGTGGTCGATGTACAGAGCTTGTAGTTTTCATATCGCAGAGGATTTAAAGCGTTTTTTTATTTTCGTCATTGTACATACGGGTTTCAGTAATAAACAGAGACTCCAAGCCGGCCTCACCTTGTGCCTCTGTCAGCAGCGCTCGTGCCAGGGGCTCCCATCCCATCCCCACTGTCGGCTGGTGCCACCTCCCACCACTCCCTGCCTGCATGTGGCAGCCCTGGACGAAGTCCCCTGCTCCATCTCAGCCCCACACGCTCTCAGGCCAGGGTGCCCGTGGCTGCCTCCTGGCTGTGATGCCAGGGAAACTGGCAGTGTTCACCCCCTGGCCTGCCCAGGGGCACAGCCCTGAGGGAACATTAGGCTTGGCCTTGGGCAGTCAGGACCACAGCAGGACCCTAGCAGGGCCCAAGTGCTGCCAGAGCCTCAGTGCCCCAAACTGAGGCCCCTGTGGGACCAGTTCCCCGTGAGTCGTCCCCAGGGCAGGACGGCCTCAGAGCACAGCGCAGCTGAGCTGCAGAGCTGAGGCCCAGGGTGCAGCATCCCGGGGCAGGGAGGCTTGCGGGGGCACAGATGCTGTAGTTGCTTTTCCCCGAGGTCCCCCACAGATGTGTGGAGGGAGCCAGTGAGCGCTGTGCAGCCAGGCTGGGCGGGGGGCAGAGCTGTGTGGCTGGGCTCTGCAGGGAGCAGACCCCCAGCCCAACCCGCCCCAGCACTCACCAGCGGGATTAACATTTAATCTTTATTGTTTTCCTCCATTTAGTAACAAGCTGGAGGAGAGAATGGGGCAGGGGCAGGGAGATTTTGCCTGATTGCAGCTCAGAGTTTAAGCATTAAGTAGATTAAATCAAGGTCAGTGGATGAGCAAAGAGCCGGGAGCATGGGGAAGCAGAACCCATGGGCAAGGGCCCAGAGCCATGACCCCATGACTCGGGCATTGCTCCTGCTCCTCTCCTGCCCGCTGGCGCTTCCAGGCCTGGAGGCCACAGAGCCACTCGGACCCAGCGAGGGAGGGAACTTCTGCCACAATCCCACACCGAGCTCCCCAGCAGGGCCCTGCCACTGTCCCACCAGAGTCCCAGGGTGGCGCAGCGCTTCGTGCCTGGTTTGCCAGGTTGGATCCGCTCCCCAGGCCGCACCGTGGAGCGCAGGAGCCGTGTCCCTCCGTGTCTGCATCCAGCACCAGAACTGAGGCCTGCCAGGCACGCAGGGCAGCCGCACAGTTCGCAGGCATTAGGCTTGGTGGCAGATAATGAGATGAGCCCTGATTAACAGGTTTCTTGATAATTTGATTATTTCGGATCAGGCTGGGCCTCACACAAGGAGATGCCAGGAACGGGAAGCTGGAGCTGCTCCCTTTGCGCAGCTTCCTGCTTGCAGAGGCCAGACCCCATCTCCTGGGCCCAGCCTGCCAGACCACAGGGGCAGCCACAGGAAGAGAAGAAAGCATCTGCCTGAAACATCATCTGCGCCCATTCCCTGAGAGCTGAGATATCCCAGCACTTGCCTGGCTGGTGTCCCCAGCCGCTTGGGGCTGCACAGAGCAGCGCGGTCTAGTGTCGGCCAAGGCACGGGAAGCAGTGCTGCCCTGGTCCCCAGCCGGAACGGGGAGTGTCCATGCTCCGTGTCCTTCACAGCACCTCTGCATGGTCACTGCCAGACTGCGTGGCCAAGCCCAATGGTACAGCAGCAGGTGCAGCCCGCAGGGTTCAGGGGGAGCCAGGTCCCTTCCATGGCTGGCAGGTGGCAGGAAGGTGACATGGCCACAAGGCCCTGGGGCTGGCAGCGGTGTGGAAGGGATTACCAAGAAGTCAAGCAGAGATTGATTAAACTTGATTTAGGGGGAGATTAAGGGATCACAGCAGATCAGGGGGAGATTGCCAATCAACAGCACCATTGTAAGCAGAGCCTGGGGGGGCAAGAGCCCCCAGCGAGCAGCAGGGCTGCAGCACCAGGAGCCTACACCTAGCCTGGGAAACCTCCAGCACCAGCCCTGCCCTTTCCTGGCACAGGAGCCAGAGCCATGAGGATCCTGCTGTGGGGGGAGGCGCTGGGCAGGAGGGCCAGGGCAGGGTCCTGGGGCATCAGGGCCAAGGCTGTGCACAGTTGGGCCCTGCCCGGGGACGCCTCCAAGGCCAGGCACCTGCGGGTGCTGCAGAACCAGCGCCAGTCGCCTCACCAGGGTATTGGGGGAAGGGGAAGGAGCCAAAGCCAGTCCTGGTCCCTGTCCTCTCCTTGGGGTCAGGGTGAGGCCTCAGCCCAGCTGGCAACTCTGGCGGTGGGGCCTGGAGCTCCTCAGCTGGCAGCGCCACCCCAGCCTCTAAAGTCCTACAACATCCAACAGCCCAGGGCCACCACAACCCTGGCAGCAATTCCCAGGGCCACAGGGTAGTATGTGCCCCCCTCCAGCACCCACAACAGCCACAACGAGAAAGCTGCCTGAATCTGGGTGTTTAATGATGGAGCCATGTGGTACCACAGGGGCCGGGCACAGGAGCAGCCCCAGGCGCCCCCCTCACGACACCTTCACCACTCGCATGATGTTGGTGTAGCCAGCACCAGGCCTCCAGCCTGTCACAATGATGACAATGTCGCTGGAGCGCAGGAATCCACGCACACGTCCTGGGAAGAAAAGCAGCTGGTGAGAGGGGCAGGGGGCAGCAGGGGCTGCCTGCAGAGGGGTGCGGGGCCTGGGGCAGGCCCATGCAAGCGCTGTGCCAAAGCATGAGTCTGTGGGGCTCGCACTCACCCATCTCAATGCCAAACTGCACCCTGCGATCCACGTCATCAGCCCACACCTCCTGCTGGGCGCCACGGTACAGCACAGGGAAGACACCCCGGCACAGGTGTGCCTGGCGAGCCACCTGCGCACTCCGTGTCACAGCGATGATGAGGGCACGAGGCCGGTAGCGGGACAGCAGCTGGGCAGACCTGCCAGGTGCAGAGGGGTGGGTAAGGACTCGCACACCAGGTGCCATGGGGGTGGCACAGTGGGCACAGGGATAGGAGTCAAGACACCTGCATTCGGTTCACTTGCAGTGCAGCCTGGGTGAGTTGCCTTGGCACTGGGGGCACTACCCCTGTCTGGGGATGGCGTGACGCGAGCAGGGATGAGTGACAGACCGTGGTGGGGCAGGCATCAATGCGCTGCACTCCACTGTGTCACCCACCATGACCCTAAGGGTAGGACCCTTCCCTGGCTGAGCTGGCTTCCCCCGTCCCCCGGAGTGCGGCCCCTGCCCCACAGGGTCTCACCGGCCGGACTTGGTGAGCACGAGGATGGCCCCTGCACAGCACTTGAACGAGGCCTCCACTGCCCCAATGGCCGTCACCTCAGTGGGGTCTTGACTCAGGGGTGTCACCCGGCGCAGCTCCTCAAACAGCTGCTGGTGGTAGATGGCGGCCTCGGCCTCCCGCGCGATCTGCATGGGACGCAGGCACAGGAGCCCACATGGGGCTGGTGAACGTGCTTGAGCACAGCCAGCCCCGTCCTCCTGCCCCTCCCTGCAGAGCCCTGACAGAGCACAGGGAGCTCCCCATGGCGCCCTGCACTCTTACCGCGTGCTGCATGCTCACAGCCTCCACCGGGTAGGCCCCCTTGGCTGTCTCTCCTGACAGCATGATGCAGTCAGCTCCATCCAGCACGGCGTTGGCCACATCACTGCTCTCTGCTCGCGTGGGCCGTGGCTTTTTGATCATGCTCTCCAGCATCTGCAGGCAGGAGAGAGCCTCAGGGCTTGTCACAGCAATCAACCCCCAGGGCCCCGATCCTCGGAGCCTGGAGCAGACTCACCTGCGTGGCACAGATCACAGGCTTCCCCGCGCGGTTGCAGCAACCAATCATCATCTTCTGTGCCAGGAAGACTTTCTCCGCTGGGATTTCGATGCCCAGGTCCCCACGTGCCACCATAATCCCATCACTGGCATCCAGGATCTCGTTGAACCTGCAGGACAGAGTGGGCTTAGTCACAGGGCTCAGGAGAGGGGTCCCCATCATACCCCCCCCAGCCAAGACATGCTAGTGAAGGCGTGTTCTGGGAGCTCAGGGAATGGCACGTGGCTGCCACAAGAGCGGGTGCCAGCCTGGCCACAGAGCTGAGAGCTCGTGGGACACAAGGATGGCCAGAGCAAGCCTGTGTGTGCCTGATGACCCCATGCAGGTAAGTGCTGCTGTGGCCCCTGGGGAAATGCCTTTGGGGTGGGCATGATGCCCCATCCCCAGTGGTGACGTGGGGGGCAGAAAGGAATATTTCTCTCCCCTGCTGCCGTGGCTGATAGGCAGGGGGAAGACAACCAGGGACAAAGGGACAGTTACTTCCTGACGCCCTCATGGTTTTCGATCTTGCTGATGATCTTGATGGCGCGGCCCTGCTCGCCCAGCACAGCCCGGATGGCTGCCACATCAGCTGCCTTGCGGATGAAGGAGGCGAAGATCATGTCCACGCCGTGCTGCAGCCCGAAGTGCAGGTCGCGCACATCCCGCTCTGACACAGCTGGCAGGTCGACCTCTGCGCCTGGCAGGTTCACGCCCTTGCGGCTGCACAGTACCCCGCCATTCTCCACCTCCGTCACACAGCTGTTGGGGCCTGGGGCAGGGAGGGAGGCAGTTCCAGGCCCTGCGAGGTCCGTGGGGCGCAGGGACAGGGGCCTGGAGGAACTTGGAAGCTCAGGGAAGCAGTGGGGTTCAGAGGGTATGGGGGCAGGGGCTGGGATGGGCACCCCCGTGGGGACTGGCAGGGGCAACACAGCCATGGTAGGGGCTAAGATCAGCGCAGAGCGTATGGATGTAGCATAGAGCTGGGTGGGGGGCAGGTGGTGGTCAGAGCTCTGGGGTCACAGGCCTGGGTCAGGGGTGCCCTGTGCCACCCTGGGGTGGGCGGGCGGCACAGAGCACTGGGGGACGCACCGATTTCCTTGACCACCAGGGAGATGAGCCCGTCGTCCACAAAGATTTTCCTGCCGACCTTGACAACCCTGGGGAGGTTTCGGTAGTCCACCCAGATGACAGACTGGTCGCAGCGCTCCTTGTAGGCCTCGTCGGTGGTGACTATCACCCGGGAACCCTTCACCAGCTCCACCTCCATGTTTTCACCCTGCACAGGCACAGCACGATGGGGGCTCCAGCGTGCCCAGCTTGACCGGCAGACCCTGCTCAGCCACATCCAAACCGCACCGGTCCCACCTGCTCCAGTGTCCCCCTGCCAATTCCCGGACCCCCTGCTTTCTGCTACAGGCCAGGCCAGGGCAAGGCAGGGCAGCCCCCACCAGCAGCCCCTGCCCCTTTCCCATCCAGCTGCTCTATACTCACCCCTTTGACCAGGCCAGTGCGGATCTCGGGGCCCTTGGTGTCCAGGGCGATGGCCACGGGGCGGTAGAAGAGAGGATTGGAGGCGAAGCTTTCCGTCGCCTCCCGGATGTTTGCAATGGAGCCGGCGTGATACTGGCAGGGAAGAGCTAGGGCTGCAGGGGGGCTGCTGTGCAGAGCTGTGCTGTCCCTGCCCCTGCCCCAGTTTGTGGTCTCTGGCCCTGCCCCTTCCCTTCCCATCAGGGCCCTGTCTGCACCTGCCCTTCGGGGCCCTGCTTGCCCCAGTCAGGGGGCTCTGGGCCCTGCCCTGGGCCCACAAACTTGTCCCCATCTCAATATCCTCCCTTGCTCCAGCCTGTGAGGTGGGGGGTCCCCCGCTGCCCTGGTGGGCAGATGCTTCCTAGCTGCACCCTGGGCTCCCAGTGCCCTCTCCCTGTGCCAGGCTGGGGGCTCCCTGCTTCCACCTGTCTGCGGGGCCTGGCCCCTCCCCACATACCTCGTGTGAGCCATGCGAGAAGTTCAGGCGTGCAATGTTCATCCCAGCCTTAATCATCTCTTTCAGCATTTCCACAGAGCGGGAAGCAGGGCCTGGCAGGCACAGAGGCTCAGACCCTCCTGCCCTCTGCCCAGAGACCATCCCACCCTCAGGGCCCTGGGGCCTTGCCCAAGCCCCTCCAGGCAGGTCTCCGGTGCTGTCCTGTGGCCCGGCACCCCCAGCGCTCCTGGCCAGGGTGGTTCTTGCCCCTTCCCCGGGGGAGCAGTACCTATGGTGCAGACGATGCTGGTGTTGCGGGTGGTGATGGGCACCGAGTCGATGTCCAGCAGGCAGAGGTGCTCCAGGAAGGTGTCCGCCCGGGACGCCCTCAGCTGGTTCTTCTGGAAAAAGGCTGTGCCGAGCTCCTGGGTGAGCTGAGCCATGTCTTCCAGCAGCCACAGCCTGATGATCCCTGCTGAGACAGGGAGGCTGCAGTTGCACAGATGCTGCCAGGCGCAGCCTATGGGATGGCAGCCCTGGCCCCCCAGTGCTGGGCTGGGAGCAGCAGGAAGCACCGAGGCCTCCTTGGGGCAGTGCCAGTGCCCCCTGCTCGGGGCAGCACGAGCGGGGAGTGCTGGCTGCACGCCGCTGTTGTGCAGCCATCAGCTCGGTGGGCACTTCCCTCCCTGGTGCCAAGATCCTCGTCATCGCTCAGCAGAGGGCTTGGACCCACCTTCCACGGTGTGGCCCCAGCTCAGCCGTCCTGCCGTGGCTGCCTCCCTGCAGCCCAGACCCCCCCTCCCGAGCAGGCCTCACCGACGCATCAGAGCTCGTTAAAGTGTCACCAGAGCTTGGCCAGCTCGGCCCAGAGGTCATTCCTGTGTGGCCTGGGGCTTTGCTGGCTGCCAGGCTCATTACAAGCACCCGGCCCCGAGACAGGAGCTGGGAAGGAGCCGGCAGCAACCTGGGACCAATCTGCAGCCCCCGGCACAGACTGGGTCCCGCTGCGAGCAGAGCCAGGGCAAGCATCCGCACATGGCGCAGGCCCAGCGGGAACCAGGGCCTGGGAGCCGGGATGCAGACCCCAGGGACCACACGGAGGCTCTGGGGCCAGTTGTCTCACAGCGGTGCGGCACGGACGGCCCATGTCGCGCTACCCTGGCATATGAGACAGGCTCCCTGGGCCCGCACGGGCCGTCCTGGGGCCAGGGAGGAGCGAGGCTGGCAGCTGCGATGTGCGGAGCAGGCCTGGGCACCAGGGTCCTGTGCAGGCAGAACCAGCTCGGCGCGCGGGCGCGAGGGGCCAGGGTGGGCAGGGGCTGCAACCCAGGCCCGTGGCTGCGCCCGAGCCAGGAGCCACCCACCTCGCTCCGGCACACGGGAGACGCCCCAGCAAGGAACTAGGAAATGGCAGCTCTCCCCTCCTCCCTGCCAGCCCCCTGGGCAGCTCCCAGCCTCGCCCCTCCCTGCTCCTTGTCCCCACCCCTCCGGCTCCAGCCCAGCCCTGGCCCGGCTCCAGGAGCCACCGCCTCTCCCTGCTCGCCCGGGGCCTGGGGCGCTGGGTCCGGAGCGGCGGGGCAGGGCGGGAGGGCAAAGGAAGCTGTCGGCGGGAGTCAAACGGTGGCAACAGCCCTGGTCAGACCCTGCTCGGTCTCAGCCTGCACCTGCCTGTGTGCCACGCAGGGGACGGGCACAACGCCCTGTGGCCGGACCAGACGGGGCAGGGAGAGGCAGGAAGAGCAGCAGGGAGCTGCAGACAGAGCAGCAGATATAGCGGGAAG